CATTTACCTATTAAATGTTCATTATAAACATAACTAAAACAATAAATAAAATCTCTCACAAAATATTTTGTATTTTCTCTTGAATTAAAAGAAGATTTTTGTATAATTAATAAACTTGTTTATTTAGTTTCTCTTGAACTAAATACTCATTATAACTAAAAAAAAAAACAGTCCAAAAGCATTATGTATTTTTTCTGAAACTAAATGATGATTCCCTTATAAATAATGTTATTTATTATTTATATAGTATCAAAACATTTGTTTTTAATTTTGTTGTTCTTACTATTGCAATGTAAGCGAGACTCATTTTTAATAGACAACTACAAGCATTTCCGGTTGAGATTAGAGGCAGAAAATACATACAATAAGGCTATTGTCTAGCAGACCTAATGGTTAGAGAATTATACTTTTTAAATAAATATGACACTTTCAAATTGAATCACACTTTAAAAATCAACATAAAAAATGACATTTTATAGCATAAGTATGCATTCTTGTTGAATAAAATATAATGAATCGGCCTGCATAACGGTTAAATAACCTCATACAATGATTAAAAATATTATAAACAATTTTATATAAGGAGAATTATTTTTTAAACTAAAATGTTTTTTTTAACTAATAATTTTAGAGAATCCGCTGTTGCTTGTATGATACAGTCTAACTATTAGGCGATTAATTTGCATGTCATACTTTCTGAATAAAAATACATATGTTATGTTCATACTTTTATTTATACTAGTAAAATGCATGTGTCATGCACGTGATACATAATTTATATTTTAATGCGATTTTAAATTATATTTTATCTTTTATATTTTTATGGACTATTCAATTATTATTTTCAATTAATAGAACAAATAAAGTACATTACATACTTAACTGTGTCAAATATATTGAAAGTTGAAATACAATTTTAAAAATATTAATCTTTAAAAGTCATGGTGAAAAAGATTGCATGAAAATTTTGATTGACAAACTTTCATTATCTAAGTTATTCTTGTATTCCAAATCTTTTTTGTTTGGGGAAGATTGAAAATATGAACAACAAAACTAAATTGAATCTTTTACAAGAATAATTGTAAGTGATAGTTTACAAATTTGTCTTCTCATTTTGTTGAATAAGGCCATTTTTTATCATTAGTTTTACTAAATAAAACAATTATAATTCAATTGATATATGTTAGCAAGTTTTTAAATATTATTCATATTATCGTCCATTTTCCAGTGACATAGTTTTCATATGTCTTTTTCCACTTGATCTAATTAATTATAGTTATTTTCATAAGTTAAAAATATATATTAAATTCAAGTGTTGGTCGAATTTTAGTTTTCTTTTTTTTATTCAAATACTAATATATTTTTCATGAACAATTTCAAACATATGGTACACAATCTCATTTAGATTTCAATAACCTTAAAAAATATTTTTAAAATTTTAAAATATTGTTTTTGGTAAATCATATTTTTTTCAGTTATGTAATAAATTGATTTAAATTAAAAATTTCATATTATGTATAATGAACTATAGTTTTGGTTTTCATGTCACATTTAATGCTCAAACAATTACGATTGAATAACTTGTGTAAATATCAATCAATTAATGCGTAGTGAATCACATAAGATGTATAATCTTAATAAGGTCATAACTACAAAACCTTAAAATCCCTCCATTACGTGATATAGAAGAACCATAATATTATAAACTTTGTCAAATTAAACACACAAAGACACACACACACACACACACACACACACATATATATATATATATATATCTGTGCATGTATAAACTTGGTCAAATTTTCGTCTAGTATTTGTTCCTAAATATATAATATTTTCATTAAAGTTTTATTTATATATCATATGATATCTTAGGTTATATTAATTTCATTTAGTTAATAATTTATTATAGAATTTAATGATCAAATACTTATTAAGTTGAAATATTAGTTAACAAAAAAATCTTGTATGAGACGAAATAGTCATTAGGTTGATTCATCCGTCATACTTTTTTTAATAAAAATATATACGTATACAATAAAATATCATACTTTTTCTTTTATATTTTAATGTATGACAATTCAATTTAAGTGTAGTATACCTACTGGAAATGTATGAATTTAAACTCGGTCTCCCAAGGATGATGTTATACGTCCATTTCGCTCCGACCACCAGAAATCTTACTATCTTAACCTTCCTCCTTGTTCCTACCCCATAGCCAACTGGAAGAGTGACCTCGCCCATGAGAACGGCCTCCCCACCATTGAAACCATATAGTCGCGTGTTGACCTCCATCGGCTCGACCTCTAGATTCATCTGTTTAAAGCAATCGTAGAACATAATATCTACTGAATTCTCCGTGTCTACGAATATCCCCTGAACATCATAACCAGCAATCTCGACCGGACCACAAGACCATCGTTGTTTGGCACATGTAGACCTTTAACATCCTCCAATTTGAAATTGATGACAGGCTACAAAGCTGTGAACCTACCCTTCTCCCTCTCGCGCTTATCGGCTCGAACATGTTGTTTTCTGGCATTGTTGGAGTCCCTATCTGTTGTTCCTCCATAAATCATATGAATAACGCCCCTCTTAGGTGGGGCCTCGTCTTCCTCGACCTTCTGGTCACGTTGTTTCTTTCCTCGATCACCTACAGCATGCCTTTTATCTCTCATTTCTCTATCCTTGCAAATGAACTCCTTGAGGTGACCTGCCTAGATCAACCTCTCGATCTCGTCCTTTAAATGTCGATAATTGTAAGTAGTGTATCCACAGTCCCTGAGGAATTGGTAATACAAGTCTAAATTCGATTGTGTGGGACCTTTCTTTCTTGACCTAGGCCACGTGACCATACTCCTATCTAACTTCCTTACCATCGCCTCGAGCACCTCAGCTTGGTGGGACTTCGACACCAACGGGCCAGTTCGTCCCGTGGTTATGTCTTTGTTTTTTTCCCGGAATGATGGACATTTTATATAAAAAAAACTGCACAAAGTACAATCTAGAAGACAACTCAAGGCTGAATGAGTCCTGCTAAAAAGTCGAAGAAAAATGGAAGGACAGATTTGAAAATCGTCTAGGACTTAAGCTAGAAAGAAACTAGACTACACACCTACAAACTAACACAAAGGCCAAAGCTCCAATAATGGAGAATAGACACTCCAACAGGGGAGACTACACATTCCCAAATGGAAAAAAACAACAAGCCACCAAACACAAACACCTACAACACAACACAAAACAAAACAAAAAACACGACCAAACCAAAACTAAACTAAAAGTAGAAAAGCCCTTCCCACAGTCGGCAAAATACCAAGAACAACACGTCGGCGACACCACAACCGACCACTCCAACGGATCGGACTACGCCCCGAGAAGCCGCTCCAAAAAATGCGTAATGCCTAACTTGACCGGCACCTCAAGAACACAATCCAACGCCCAA